AAAATTAAAAATAGAATGACCATATGATCCAGCAATTCTACTATATCCAAAAGAATTGAAAGCACAATCTCAAAAATATAGTTGCACAATCGTGTTCATTGTAGCATCATTATAGAATAGCCAAGAGGTGGAAGAAACCCAAATGTCTGCTGACAGATGAATGGATAAAGAAAATGTGGGGATATATATATATGTATTCAATGGAATGTTATGCAGCCATAAAAAAAGAAGGAAATTGGCTGGACACATCGGCTTATGCCTGTAATTCCAGCACCTTGGGAGGCAGAGGTGAGAGGATTGCATGAGTCCAGGAGTTCAAGACCAGCCTGGGTAACATAGTCAGACTATGTCTCTACAAAAAAATTTTAAAAATTAGCCAGGCACGGTCACATGTGCCTGTAGTCCTCAGTTACTTGGAAGGCTGAAGTGGGAAGATTTCCTGAGCCCAGGAAGTCAAGGGTGCGGTGAGCCATGATTGTGCCACTGCACTCCAGCCTAGGTGACAGAATGAGTCCCCATGCAAAAAAAGAAATCCTGCCGTATGCTACAACATGGATTGAAGACATTATGTTAAGAAAAATAAGCAGTTAAAGGAAAAATACAGTATGATTCCACTGATATAAAGTATCTAAAATACTGTAGTCAAAATCATAGAAACAGAATGCAGAAAGGTGATTGACAAGGCCTGGGGAGAGGGAAAGAGGGGTAAATAGAGTTTAATGAGTATTCATTTCACTTTTGCCAGATGTGAATTCACAATGAGAATATATTTAACACTTAAAAATGGTTAAGATGATAAATCTAATGTTATATATATTTTTACATCAATTTTTAAAAGTCACTAAAGTGATATGGTATAGCTAGCTACTAATGTTTGTCCTGAGTCAACCTTTCTCATGACAGTCGTTACAGATGATAGCTTTTGCTATCATTTTCTTTGATTTTTTACTACTGTCCTAAAGCCCTGCCTTGCAAGAGCCAGTCAAGCTAACTGCATATCAAATTGTTAGCTGGACATAGTCACTCACGCCTGTAATCCCAGCACTATGGGAGGTGGAGGTGAGAGGATTACCTGAACCCAGGAGTTTGAGACCAATTTGGCGAGACCTCATCTCTACAATACATCAAAAATTTAACCAGGCGTGGTGGTACACACCTGAAGTTCCAGCTACTTGGAACGCTGAGGAGGAAGAATACCCTGAGCCCAGCAGGTCAAGGCTGCAGTGACCGTGAGCATGCCAATGCACTCCAGCCTGGGTGGCAGAGTGAGACTCCAACTCAAATAATATATAAATAAATAAGTGACAAATCAAATTGTTTTTCTTTTCTTTTTTTTTTTTTTTTTTAGGTTGGATTCTTACTCTGGCATGTTCACCACCACCATAGCCTCAACCCACTGGGCTCAGGCGATCCTTCCACCTCAGCCTTCCAAATAGCTGGAACTACAGGAACGCACCACCACCCTGGCAAATCTTTTTTTTTTTTTTTTAGTAGAGATAATGTCTCGCCAAGTTTCCCAGACTGGTCTTGAACCCCTGGGCTCAAGCAATCCTCTCACTTCTGCCTCCCAAAGTGCTGGGATTACAGGTGTGAGCCACCATGCCTAGCCAAGTTGTTTTTCTATTAGATGCAAAGAGATTTCTGAAGACCTCCAAAGCCATGGAGATAGCTTCTTTAAGTTCTCCTATGTAGAGCCAACCACAATTATACTTCCTTTCTAGAGTTATGCTTTTTTCTTTTGGTATTACGAGAACACAGCTCAGTGTAAACTTCCCCTTATTTCAGTCATTTTTAGAGTCATACTGGGAGGTAAGGTTAGTCTGAAATGGAGCTGAGAGTGGCTTCTTTCAGGGGCTAGGCAGGAAGGGAGAGCTCTTGGCCACTTGTTCCTCATTACCACCTGGGGTAGGAAGAGGCTTGCAGTGATCACCTCCATCAGAGATGTACCTCCTAATGCCTACACCTGGAGGGGCTGGTTCCAAATTTTATCCTCCATGCATGTGGGAAAGAATAAAGTGCCAATTTTTTTTTTTTTTGGTTTCATAAGAAAACAGATGTCAATTTAAATATTACTACCAGGGCAACACATTATTAGGTAAGACCTCTCCTCTCCCTCTCTCCTGTCCTCTCCATCTGGCTGTGTCACTCAGGCTGGTCTCAAACTCCTGGACTTGAGACCTCTGTCTCAGCTTCCCAAGAAGCTGGGATTACAGGCATGCACCATGACACCCAGCTTATTGTTTTATTAAATAAAATAAGTCAGACATTTTAGAAGATGAAGGTTATTTTCCAGACATACTAATCTCCAAAGTCCAATGATTTAAAAAATTACTTGAGCCGGGCTTGGTGGCTCAGCCTGTAATCCCGCGCCTTTGGGAGGCTGAGGTGAGTGGATTGCCTGAGCTCGCAGGTTCGAGACCCGCCTGGGCAGCGAGACCTCATCTCTACAATAAATCAAAAAAATCAGCCGAGCGTGGTAGCGCATGCCTGTAATTCCGGCTACTGGGAAGACTGAGGCGGAAGGATCGCCGGAGCCCAGCAGGTCGAGGCTGCGGTGGCCGGGAGCGGCCACTGCACTCGTCTGGGCGACAGAGTGAGACTCCCACTCAAAAAAATAAAAAAATAAAAAATTACTTTGTTAGGAATAACATTTGCTCACACCAATAATCCCAGCACTTGGGAAGCCAAGGGGAGAACTTTGCCTGAGCCTACAGGTTTGAGACTAGCCTGGGCAACTTGGTAAGACCTCATCTCTACAATAAATAAAAAAACTAGCCGGTGTGGTGACATGTGCCTGTAATTCCAGCTACTTGGAAGGCTAAGACGGAAGAATCGCCTGAGCCCAGCAGGTCGAGGCTGCAGTGTCCGAGTGTGCCACTGTACTCCAGCCTGGGTGACAGAATGAGACTCTAACTCAAAAAAAGAAAAAAGAAAGAAATACCATTTTCAAAGACAGGTTTAAGTTATAGAATATTATTAATATCTTGTTTTTTGCTGTAGCTTTGGGGGAAATGGGAATATTTTTCCTTTTTATCTAGTTGAAATGTGTTTTATTAGCAGTTAGAGAGGCTTATAGTTTGTTAGAAATGCCTATCTAATTTTCAAAGCAAAGAATTCCATTAGTTACTACTGACTAAGAATATGATTGGGTTATTAATATAAATGGAATAATACAATAGCACAATAACATTTGGAATGCTGTGTACTCAGTGTTTGACAGCTTTTAATTTTGTCATGTTATGGTAAAAACAAACAACCCCCCAAAACAAAACTATCACCAAAAAGAAAAGAAATATTAACACAAAAAGCTTAACATGCATAATCTCAAAAATAAGGACAATCCTTTTTAAGAAAGGATTTGGCAGTCTTACTGGGTATTGTCCTCATTTTGCTAATTTTGGTGTAGATCAGTAAAAATGCATCATAGATTGGCAAAAATCTGTTGACTGGAATTTGGTAACCACTGTTTTAGAATTTTAGAACAGAGCCTTAAGGAACCTTAAGTCTCAAATTTAAAGACTTGTATAAACAGTAATACCAGCTGGTTTAGATGTGTTGGTTCTCCAAACTGATTTTCTTATCTCTTATCATTCCATCCTGATGCCTTCTGCCATGGTCCAGGCTCTTGTCTGTTTACCAGCTCTTGTAAAAATGAGAAACATATTTCTTTTTACGTAAAAGAAATGGTGGCATGATGTTTTCAGGGACGGAGATGCCTTTCGTCTTTCTGTTGTAGCATCATTCAGAACATGCTAGCACGTAATGTTTTCCCTGAAATCTTCTTCATGGTCTAAGGTGGCTGATAGAGCTCCAAACATGACATTCACTTTCCAGGTAGCAGAAAGGAAGAAAGACAGAGAGCCAAAGGGCACCCCCTTTGCAGCCAAGCGAGTTCCCTTTAACCATCCTCCCCAGAATCCCACATAATAATTCTGCTCATAGCTCTATATCTGGCCACAAGGTAACTGGGAAATGTAGTCTTTGAGGTGGGTGATTATTCTCCTGAATTAAATTAGAATGATTTTACGAAGAAAGAAGAGAAGAATGGATATTGAGGGGCATCTAGTATTCTCTGCCATATGTGTTTATTAAACCATATATTTTTAATCCTTTTATATTTAACATTTTATTGTGGACATCTTTCATTTTCTCCAACTTAAGGACTTCATAGCATTCCATACATAAATATACCACTATTTAAACACTCATTCCCAAATACTCTCTTTTGAAACAGTTGGGCTAGTTTTGATTTTTGGTAATTATAAACAATACTATGGTGGTAATTCTTACGGCTAAATCTTATGGATCCTTAAAGTCCCTAAAAATGAAACCATTGAATCAAAGGGTATGTTTATTTTAAGGCTTCTAATACATATTTCCAAAATGTCTTCCAGTAAGATTTCCTACTAGCCTCGTTGAAAAATGCCAGAGGTTTATTCTTTTTTCCTCACTTAAAAAAACCCCCCAGAAAATATACTTAAGACACACAAAAAATAAAGAGTAATACAAAGCATAGGTTGTTTATATTTAATATTTGGTTAAACTGAGAGCCATTTAAAAAATTTCGATTGCTCAGATTTAACTGACTTTCTCCAAAGTAAACCTACTGAAATGAAGATAAGATTTTTGCCCTTAGGAATATGCATTTTGAGCAATGATAGAATTATTGAAATAGCATATAATCTCTTGAGGTTTAAAGATGTAATTATGAATGATAATCTTACTTTCAAAAAATTTGTTTTATAACTATAGCTGTTTGCATCTGAAAAGATAACAAGCAGTATCAGATAGTACATAGTGCACCTAGGCAGAATAGTTTTTAATCTTCCTGTTCTGAGAAATGGTAGGTTATTACGGCTTAAAATAGGCCATGAAGCTGTTGCCAGGGTAGGGATAGGGTAGAGTGGGTTGGGAGGGTTTTGAGCCAAAACTCATGTGATTATGCTGCTGTGAGAACTGTTTATATTTACATTGTTAATATTTGTTTTTTCCTCTCCAAGATTTGGTATAAGGGGAAAGAAGTTACGTTTTTCATCTTATACTCATAAAGCATCTTCCATTGCCAAATCCCCCAGCTTTTGTTCTATGGAAAGAGAAGAGGAAGACTGTATACTCTTCTCAGAAGGAATAATTGAGGAATACTTAGCATTTGACCACACAGATATGTGAGTATTGGGTCTTTTAAGTTTTTTATTCCCTTCCTGTTTTGTGTATTAGTATCTATTTTCTCTAAACTATGATACCAATATTATCTATAATTATATCTATCCCAGTTTCTGTTACTTCTCAGGTATCCAGAGTTCATGTTTTTAGTTACTGCTTCCATATACAGGGCTTCTTTGTGTCTTTGTGTATTTTATACCTTCACGCATCATTTGACCCTTCCTGAGATTAGAGATTTTACTTTATTTTGATGTGTTGATGTATTTATTTATTTATATTTTGAGTTGGAGTCTCACTCTGCCGCCCAGGCTAGAGTGCAGTGGCATGCTCAGGGCCACCGTAGCCTTGACCTGCTGGGCTCAGGTGATCCTTCCATCTCAACCTTCAAAGTAGCTGGAACTACAGGCATGTACCACCATGCCCGGCTAATGTTTTGATTTATTGTAGAGATGAGGTCTCACCAAGTTGCCCAAACTAATCTCGAACCCATGGATTCAGACAATCCTCTCACCTCAGGCTCCCAAAGTACTAGGATTACAGGCTTGAGCCACCGTGCCCGGCTGTATTTATTTTTTTGAGTTGGAGGTCTCACTTTGTTGCCCAGGCTGGAGTGCAGTGGCACAATCATGGCTCACTGCAGCCTCTACCTCCTGGAGTCTGGCCATCCTTCTGCCTCAGCCTCCCCGAGTAGCTGGAACTACAGGTGCATGCCACCACCTAGCTAATTAAAAAAATTTTTTTTGTAGAGATAAGGTCTCTCTATGTTGCCCAAGCTAGTCTCAAATTCCTGGGTTCAAGCAGTCCTCCTGCCTTGGCCTCCCAAAGTGTTGAAATTACAAGCGTGAGCCACCTTACCTGGCCAAGATTTTTTTTTTAAAGTCAGAATCTCACTCTGTCACCCAGGCTGGAGTGCAGTGACACACTCACGTCCACCATGGACTTGACCTGCTGGGTTCAAGCAATCCTTTTGCTTCAGCCTTCCAAGTAGCCACCACACCCGGCTAATTTTTTGATATATTGTAGAGAGGAGGTCTTGCCATGTTGCCCAGGCTCTGGCAGTCCTCTCACCTTCATCTACCAAAGTGCTGTGATTACAGGCATAAACCACGGTGCCTGGCTGATATTTTAAAATGTGGTGCTTGTTTTTTACATAGTTTGATTTTACCCTTTTGTGAATTGTCACCAGTAGGAACTCTGAAACCTTTCAAAAGAGTAGCTGAAGTGTTATGAAATTTGTTTATATAAACCCTGTTTGAAAAAGGTATATACAGGGATCACCGTCACAGCCCTGCAGTCTCTGCCGCTGAGTGGGTGGTTGGAAAGTCAGAGCCCTGCTGCACTCCTGGCCTCCTCTGTCAGCCTGGTGGCAGGAAGCACCTTCCCCGCAGAGACGACATCCATGCAAACTTGAAAAAGAAAAACAATTTCTTCCTACTAAGCCATGGTATATCAGCTGTACAGAAACACCACTTTGGGAAACAGCCTTTAGGAGAGCCTAGATGAGCTCAACAGATCACCTCCCAACTTGCCCTTGTACTTCAATTTGATAAGGCTATAAATTCAGCATTGGCTCAGAGGGTCAGGAACAGAGTCAATTTCAGGGACTCTCTAAATATGTACAGATTCTGTGATAATGTGTGGACTTTTGTATTGAATGATGTTGAATTCATAGAGGTGACAGAACTTATTAAAGTGGATAAAGTGAAGATTGTAACCTGTGATGGTAAAAATACTGGCTCCAATACTAAAGAATGAATAGGAAAAAAGTGACTTTTGTATGTCATCTTCTGTTATTATTCATCACTTTTTGAAGAGAGGCATAGAAGAGACTTTTAAAAAATTTATTCCAGCATTGCAGAAGAAATGACTACATTGTGCTATAGCAGAGAATTCCCATAGAAAGAAACTGATAACTCTGTAACCTCTTACGTTACCTTTATTATACAGCATGAAAAAAACATAACTTTTTTTTAATGACAGATCAAAAGTTGGTGCCTTCCTAAGAGCATTCTTTAATAAACTAATTTTAAAACTTGGAATAAAAAAAGAGAAAAAAACAGGTATATACAGTTTTTTTAAAAACTTATCCTTGGCATAGACTTTATAATTAATAATGTTTATATTTATTCTTATTGCATTAACAGTAGTCCTATGACATGGATTTCACTTACCTTCTTTACAGGATAGGTGAGAATCTGAGTGGTTAAATGATTTGTCTAAAGTAAAGCTAAAGTCAAAATTTTTTTATCTGATTCTAAGTCAGATGGGAAATTTTAAACATACTCCTTGCTACCCTTCTGAAACATTAACCTCTTAGACTATTCCTCTCAGCCTTTAAAAGTTCCAGAATTGATAGCAACACAGCACATCTGAAATGAATGAGAATTTCATTTTAGGCTGTGAGGTTGTGGTTAGGTCTAATAGTATCATGTCATAGAATTCTGGACTTTTCTTTCATATTTCCTGCTGATCCATGTTCACTCACGTGTACACTCAAATATACACAGTCCTTGTGCCAGTTAAACGTAAGTCAGATGTCTGTACGTAGCACTGAGCTAGAATGATAAGTAGGTTCTTTGGGTTTTCAAGGACTACCCCTTTCCTCTTTACTTCTCTCAGCCTGTGTCAGATTATTTCTTATCTTCTCTTTCTCCTCAAATCAAAGCTCTTCTCCCTTGGTTTAAGTTTATTAAATATGAATCTGATTTACCTAATTTAAAATATGATGTAAATGGCTGATAAGTGTCCCCAGGACGTCACTTTCCCTTTTTCCAACAGTTAACCCAAATGAATTTTTGGTTAATACAGGGTAGATTTTTAGAAAGTCAACCTTCACTTTAGAGATACCACTAAGATACCTTGTTGTAAAGTCAGGCCTAACGAATGTTCCTAATTGAGAAGTTGAAGTTTGAAAAATAAACCAAAAGACCTTTGGAAATTAGTATGTACAGTAATTTCAGCAAATTATTTTGGTACGACTGGAAAAAACATTTGGAAAAAAATAAGGTTTCCGTGAAAATTAATTTCACACACATAAAAAATGGAAATGTGACAAATGAAATCATGTAAGTTGACTGGGCGCAGTGGCTCATACCTATAATCCCAGCACTTTGGGAGGCCAAGGTGAGGGATTGCCTGAGCCCATGAGTTTGAGACCAGGCTAGGCAACTGGCGAGACCTCATCTCTACAATAAATCAAAAAAGTAGTGGGGTGTGGTGGCACATGCCTGTGGTTCCAGCTACTTGGAAGGCTGAGGCAGAAGGATCACCTGAGCCCAGGAGGTGGAGGCTGCAGTGACTGTGAGCATGCCACTGCACCCAACCTGGGCAACAGAGTGAGACTCCAACTCAAAAAAAACAAGACAATAAAATATGGAAAATTTTTAAAAATAATTTTGAATGGGGAAGGGCTTTTTCACCATAACATAAAAACTACACATCACATATGAAATTCTTAAATGATTGTGTAAAATGAAATTTCTGCATAGAAAAAACTCATAAAGTCAAAAAACAAATGACAAACTAGATAAAAATATTTGCAGTTCATTCATAGACAAAGAGTTGATTTCCTTAGCATGTACATCAGAGTAAGGAGAAGACTAAGGACAAAACAGGCAAAGGATATGAACAGTCAGTTCACATAAAAAGAAAATAGATTTTAAACATATGAAATGAAATTCAGCCTCATTTGAAATTAGGGATGCAAATTAAGACTATATGGAAATATTTTTATCTGTCAGACTGGCAGAGAACAAAACATAAAGATAATTCCTTCAATGTGTAACAGACATTCTTTCATCACTGGCTCATATGACCTCTTTAGAGGAAATTGGGTAATAGCTTTTCCATTGAAATGCATATCCCTTTAACTCAATAAGCCTATTTATAGGAATTTATCCTACAGATATAATCATCTATGAAACCAAAGAATTATGTACAAGGATATTAGTTGCGTGGTTGACTGTAAGAGCAAAAGATAGGTTGATCAATAAGGGTCTAGTTAGACATAGTATATCCAATGGAACATCCTGCAGCTATTTCTTAAGAAGCAGGTTAATATGTATTGAAGGGCCAAGATACATTGTCAAATAAAGAACAAGATGCAGTATAATGTACAATGCAACTATTTCTGTGGAATAGGGCATAATGTTTGTTTCTGGGGATGGGGACTGGGGGACAGAAATGGAGGAGACTTTTTTTTCACAGTATGTCCTTCTGTATACTTTGAATTTTTTTTATTACATGGATGTGTTATCTCTTCTAAAAAGAAATATAACTATAAATTCAATTAATACTAATTAGCTTACTCCCACATCTAATACCAGGCTAACTCTTCCTTGGGAAAGCAGAAAGGAGTCTGTAGCTACTCTGCTTAAGCCTCATCATACCCTTCTTTCCTGCTTACAGTTTTCTGCTTAACTCTTGAGACCTCTGCTGTCCAAGGGCTAACTTTCACTATAGAGGCCTGGAGATATTTCTACCTATCCTAAGCTAGTTCTAGAACCCATTTTGCCTTTGTTTATAGAATACATCTATCTTGGGTGAGCACATCTATCAGCTAGATTTTCCTCCCAGAGTTTCAGAGCTATTGATTTTCCCTGTCAGTGAAGCAGGGATAGGCTTGGCTAGCTGAGTTTCTAGGTTGCAGACACAAGGGTCTCCAGAAGAGCCTCAGAAGAGCTTCTGTGCTGTTTAGCTTCCCTCCTTTTTCTTTCCAGCCAATTACCAAATGTGTATGTAACTTAGTAAAGGTATAGTAATTGTAATAATTTATGTGAACTATTTCTCTAATGAATCATTGCCTCAAATAATTATGCAGCATAATCACAGTTCCATGCATTTCATTAAATGTATCACATTTATATTAATCTAAATTTTATCCAAGTACAACAAAAGATCCCTTCCTCCCTCCCTCCCTTCCTCCCTTCCTTTTTTTGAGACAGGGTCTCACTTTGTCACCTAGACTGAGTGCAATGGTGCCATCATGGCTCACTGCAACCTCAAACTCCTGAACTCAAGTGATTCTCCCTTCTCAGCCTCCTAAGTAGCTGGGACTGCAGGCGCGTGCCACCCCACCAGGCTAATTTTTTCATTTTTTTATGGAGACAGTGTCTCAAACTTCTGGCCTCACTCAATCCTCCTGCTTCAGCCTCCCAAAGTGCTGGCATTACAAGTGAGATCCACTGTCCCTGGCCAGTTTCTGTATGCATAATTGCCATAGCTGATTGCTCAATTGACAATGCTCATCTATTTAAAGCTAAAAAATGCTTTGGCCGGGCTCGGTGGCTCAGCCTGTAATCCCGCGCTTTGGGAGGCCGAGGTGAGTGGATTGCCTGAGCCCGCGGGTTCGAGACCTGCCCGAGCAACTTGGCGAGACCTCATCTCTACAATAAATAAAAAATTAGTTGGGCATGGTAGCGCACACCTGTAGTTCCGGCTACTTGGAAGGCTGAGGCGGAAGGGTCGCTGGAGCCAGCAGGTCAAGGTTGCAGTGTCTGGGAGTGTGCCATTGCACTCCAGTCTAGGTGACGGAGTGTGACTCCAACTCAAAAAAAGCTAAAAAATGTTCTCAGCCTTCTTTGTTTTTTTTTTTGAGTTGGAGTCTCACCGTCGCCCAGACTGGAGTGCAGTGGCCGCTCCCGGGTCTCCAGTGATCCTTCCGCCTCAGGCTTCCGAGTAGCCGGAATTACAGGCACGCACTACCTTGCCCGGCTAATTTTTTGATTTATTGTAGAGATGAGGTCTCGCCTGCCCAGGCGGGTCTCGAACCCGCGGGCTCGGGCAATCCACTCACCTCAGCCTCCCAAAGGCACGGGATTACAGGCTGAGCCACCGAACCCGGCTTCAGCCTTCTTTTTATTCTGCTTTTTTGTGGGGTGGGGTGGAGGTAAAAAGGGAAATGCATCATCCTCTGTTAAGAACTCTCTTAGTTCACAAGACAGCTTCATACATGTGCTACATACATTGGGCAAGGAGGAAAGCAGGGTGGGGAGGGAGGCATCTATTTCACTCCTAACAAGCACAAAGTTCAGTGTTAGACACTCAGGAAAGAGTAATCATGAAGTCTTTACCTCTTGCTTCTGTTACAGGGAAGAGGGATTTCATGGAAGGAAATCAGAAGCAGCTACAGAGAAACAGAAATTAGGGTATCCTCCCATTGCTCCATTTTACTGCATGAAAGAGGACGTCCTTGCTTATGTGTTTGATAACGTGTGGAGCAAGGTTGTGAGCTGTATGGAGCAGCTGACACGTAATCACTGGGAGGGATTTGCTTCTGGTAAGGATCTTTGTGAAAACAATGTAAAAATAATTGTTATGTTTTCCTAGTCCATTAGATTATATGCTTTATAAGTTCTAAAGGTAGACATGAGAGAGGAAAAACCCAAGTGTTTTTTTTCGTGTTCTCACATACCACAACACATCTGACACAATGCATAGGACTTTCCCTTTACAGCCTAGGCAATTCTAACACCAGATTCTCCAGCAGACACCAGTGAGTTGGCCTATATAAAATTCAGTTCAATTCTGATACTTTCTGCCTGGACATATCATTAAATCCCACAGGTTAAGGGTTCAGTCCCACAAGACCGCTCCACTTCATATGCCAGTGGTAAGCCGCAAGTTGTGACATGTGCTCCTGTGCTTCTGAGTGACAGCTGTTAATCAGGGCCCTCTGAACCCAGTCCTTTAGGGTTTTTATAAAGGTTTCAGTTTTGGATTTTTTTGTAGGCATGATTGATTAAATCATTGGCCATCACTGATAAACTCAACTTTCAATTCTTTGCCCTATCCAGAGGCTGAGGGGTAGGGCTGCCAAACTGAAAAAGTTCCCACCTTCTAATTACATGGTTGGGTCTCCTGCCAGTCACCCTTCCACCCCATTCTGAGACTATCTAGGAGCCCCTAACCACCAGTCATCTTACTAGTATACAAAAACACACAATACTTTGGATATTACAAGAGTTTTAAGAGTTGTGTGCCAGGAACCATGGGCAGTGACCAAACATATATTTATTATTATAATATTACAGTGGGTCTCATTCATATTTGTATTTCCCACAGAAACTAACAGGTATTTAGTAAATATTTGAGAATGAGTATAAAAATAACAAGTTCTCGTCTATGATGGTTAGACAGCTTGTACTTTCTCTTTGAGTATAATGATTTATGAGGAAAAACCATGTGTAGGTGGCATATGTTTTTTAAACTACTTTACCAAAGAATAATTTATAAACAGTAGACTCACATTTTAAGTATATAATTTGGCAAGTTCTGCCCTATGTACACAGCCATGAAATCATCACTGCAGTCGATATAGTGCACATAAGTATCACCCCTAAAAGTTTATGCCCTTTACAATCCTTCCTTCGTGCCCCTGCCCAGGCCCCCATCTCCAAAATGATCGTTATGCTGAGTGAAAGAAACCAGACAAAAAAGAAAGCTATCTGCTTTCTGTCACTATGAACTAGTTTGTATTTATAGAGTTTCATGTGGATGGAATCAGATGATTTGTACTCTTTGTCTGGCTTCTTCCACCCAGCATAATGATTTTGAGATTCATTTGTGCCACTGTGTATATCAATAATTTATTCCTTTTTATTTCAGAATAGTATTTCATTGTACCACAAGTTGTTTATTCATCCATCTGTTGATGGACATTTGGATTGTTTTAAGCTTTGGGTATTAACGTGTAAATCTGTTATGAGCACTAATGTACAAGAATTTGAGGGCACATATTCATTTCCTCTTGGATAAATTCCTAATAGCGGAATGGTTAGGTTACATGGTTAGATATATATTTCACTTGTTAAGAATTGATTATATAGATTTTTTTCTATGCTGCTTAACAAATTATCATAAACAATGGCTTCAAACAACACATATTCATTACCTCACACAATTGTGAATCAGAAGTCCAGGAACAGTTGCGCTAATTCCTTGCTTAGGGTTTCACAAAGCTGTGATCAAGGTGTTGGCCAGGGCTGGCTTCTCAACCAGGAAGGAGCCATTTCCCCTTTCATGTATTCTTGGAAGCATTCAATTCCTTGTAGCTGCAGTATTCACAGCAGCTTTATTATTCAAAGCCAGCAAGAAAGACTAAGAGCTAGTCAACTACCAAGACAGAGCCTGTATAATATAACATGATCGTGGGGAAAACATCCCATCATCTTTTTACCATTAGCTATTGGTAAGTCACAAGTCCTGTTCACACTCAAAGAGAGGGGACTACACATAGGCACGAACACTAAGGGGTGGGGATCACACAGAGGCCACCGCAGAGTCTGTCCACCACAGTCTTCCTTCTGATTCCAGTAATTCAGTCTCCTACAGCAAAATACATTCCTTCCCAAGGTTTCTAAGAGTCTCATCCCATTGTAGCATCAGCTCAAAAGTCCAAAACCGTATCATCAAAATCAGATCTTGGTGTGGATGATGTTCCCTGATATACTCCATGTAGTACAACTCCAGGAACACAATTTCTCTTCATCTGTAGGCCTGTGAAAGTAAGGAACGTATGTCTGACCACCCAACATACCATAGTGGGACAGGAAAAGGACAACAGTTAACAGACATTACAGTTAAAAGGAGTTGAATGGAAGCTCAGAATTGAGTTCATAGCAAAGCTGAAATCCAGCTGCATGAATACTGGGAATTCCTTGATTAAGTTTCATGATGGCGGGGGGAAGGGAGGGAATAATGAATAATCCTCTGCAGCTCTCTGCTGTATCTTCTGGGCTCCTGGCTTTACCCTCTGAGTCATCCTTTCTTTTTTCATGAAAGGTAGCATGTGTTTGCAGCTAAGTAGTTTTATTAGGCTGCTGCTTAGTAGAACTGGGGGCCTAACAACTTTCTTTCATTTTGTCCTTGCTCTGTCCCTTTAGTCCAAATAAGCAGTGTTTCTGCTGAAATAATTTTCTCAAAAACTTTGGCTTTCCTGTGGATATCAGTGGGGTTCACCACTTTAGACAAAAGCTACACCCTAAGATATTTTCAGATAATTTATCCTCTATCTTGGCCTTCTGCTTGGATGACTGAGGGACAATGTCCTTAAGCTTCCTAAAGGCTCTATGGTTTGATGAAGGTCTTTGAGATATTCTCTTAATCTCTTGAAAGGGTCCTTTGTGTGAGTGAATATGCAACCTTTTGCTCTTTCTGTGGTATTAATAGAAGGTATAGTCATATCCTTTTTTTTCTAGACCACTGTCTAGAAAATTAACATCTTTTGCCTTCTAGAGAGCCTAGACATTTCTAAAACATCAAGTCATGGTTTCTTTTCTTTTTTGAGTTGGAGTCTCACTCTGTCACCCAGGCTGGAGTGCAGTGGCATGCTCACGCCACCGCAGCCTCGACCTGCTGGGCTCAGGTGATCCTTCCACCTCAGTCTTCCAAGAAGCTAGAACTACAGGCATGCGCCACCACACCTGGCTAATTCATGGTTTCTTTTTGCTTGACTGTTTTTCCCTCAATTTATCTTTCCCATCTTGCATTTTACAAGCAGGAAGAAAAAAATGAGGCACTATGTGATTTAAACCACTTTCAACATGTGATTAGAAGATCATCACTTACAAATTATGCTTTCTGCTTGACTACAGGAAACCATTTCACTAAGCTTTCTGCCACCAAATAACAAACATCTCCCTTCCTCCAGTTGCCAGTAACATGTTCCTTGTTTCCTTCTGAGTTCTCCCCTGCAGCATCCTTCAAGTCTTGATTTCTTTTCTTTCTTTTTTTTTTGAGTCGGAGTCTCACTCTGTCACCCAGGCTGGAATGCAGTGGCATACTCACGGCCATCACAGCCTCAACCTACTGGGTGTCGGCGATCCTTCCGCCTCAGCCTCCCAAGTAGCTGGAATTACAGGCGTGCGCCATCATGCCCAGATAATATTTTTTTATTATTTATTATAGAGATGAAGTCTCGCCAAGTTGCTCAGGCTGGTCTTGAACCTGTGGGCACAGGCAGTCCTCTTGCCCCCACTTCCCAAAGTGCTGGGATTACAGGCATGAGCCACCACATCCGGCTCAAGTCTGGATTTCTACTGTCAGTCTGTTCAAGGCAATTTATGCATTCTCTATCATGCTTCTCAAAATTCTTCCAGCCTCAATAAAAAATTTGTCAACTGTGGTAGCATGTGTCTGTAGTCCCAGCTACTCAGGAAACTGAGGCAGAAGGATTGTCTGAGCCAGGAGGTCAAGGCTGCAGTGAGCTGTGATCATGCCACTGTACTTCAGCCTGGGTGACAGAGACCCTGACTCAAAAAGAAAAATTCTTCCAGCCTCTATCAATGAACAATTGAAAATGAAATTAAGAAAACAGTTCATTTACAGTAGCATCGAGAAGAATACAATACTTAGGAATAAATGTAACCAAGGAAGTACAAGGCTTGTACACTAAAAGCTATAAAATACTATACAAAGAAATTAGGGAAGACCTAAAAAAATGGACAGACATCCATTCATAGACTGGAATACTTAATATCGTTTAAGATGGTGATATCACCAAATGGAGCTACAGGTTCAGTGCAGTCCTTATCAAAATTCCCCCTGCCTTTTTTGCAGAAATGGGCAAGCTGATCCTGAAATTTACACGGAAATATAAGAAACCCTGAATAACCAAAACAACACTTTTTTTAAATAAAATTTTTATTTTAAATATGTGGAGTACAATTAAGGGTTAGGTATACAAATGCAAAACAACATTTTAAAAGAACAAAGTTAAAGGACTGGATCACAGGAAGTCTACAACTACAACTTTACTAGATAACACCAAATTGTTCAAACTGATTATGCTAGTTTCCATGCCCATCAGTAGGATATGAGTTCCTATGTTTACAGCCTCATTAATACTTTTCTTTTTTGTTTGTTTGTTTTGTTTTGTTTTGTTTTGTTTTGAGTTGGAGTCTCACTCTGTCACAACCTCGACCTGCTGGGCTCCGGCGATCCTTCCACCTCAGCCTTCCAAGTAGCTGGAACTACAGGCGCGCGCTACCACGCCTGGCTAATTTTTTTGATTTATTTTAGAGATGAGGTCTCGCCAAGTTGGCCAGGCAGGTCTCCAACCCACAGGCTCAGGCAGTTCACGCACCTCGGCCTCCCAAAGCACGGGATTACAGGCTGAGCCTCTGAGCCCAGCCAATACTTTTCTTGATTTTAAAGTTTTGTGTCAGTGTGTAAAAAGGTATTTTCCTTTGGTTTTATCTCCATTTCAGGATTAAAGTATAATTTTCGTACAGTACAATTCACCTTTTTTAGTGTTTAGTTCATATTTTACACCTTGTTTCTCTGAATTCATGGTAATTTCTTCAAGTTTACTATTTCTGCTGAGTTTTAAATTTTAGTTAATTTTAGTTCTCTTTGTAGTTTTATTGTGTTCTTTTTCAAATATGCTCGGGCCATTAAAAAATTTTTTTTTAAAGACAGCGTCTTGCTCCACCACTCAGGCTGGAGTGCAATGGCACGAACACAGTTCACTGTAACCTTGAATTCCTGGGCTCAAGCAATCCACCTTGAGTAGCTAGGAGTACATGTGTGTGCTGCCATACCTGGCTAATTTTTTTTGCTTTTTGTAGAGATGGGGGTCTCACTGTGTTGCCTAGGCTGTTCTTGAACTCTTGGCCTCAAGTGATTCTCCCACCTTAGCCTCCCAAATCTCTGGTCTTGTGCCTCCCTTGGTTATTTATTTATTTATTTTTGAGTTGAAGTCTCACTCTGTCACTGAGGCTGGAGTGCAGCGGCACCTTCACAGCCACCGCAGCCTCGAACTGCTGGGCTCAGGTGATTCTTCTGCCTCAGCCTTCCAAGTAGCTGGAACTACAGGCACACTCCACCACACCCAACTAATTTTCTGATTTATTGTAGAGATGAGGTCTCACCAACTTGCCCAGACTGGTCTCGAATCCATGAGCTCAGGCAGTCCTCTTATCTCGACCTCCCCAAGTGCTGGGATTATAGACGTGAGGCTCGGCGCCTGGCCCTGCTTGGTTATTTTTATATTTTGCTTTTAGTCATATTTTCAGTTGCTTGTTTGGTTTTACCTTCTATGTTAATTTCAATTTCTAGTCTTTGCTCATCTGATTGTGCTGTTTCTACTTGCTCTTTTTCAGTGTGCCTTGTTTCTTTGTGGATCATTTGACTTCTAATAGTGGTTTCTCTTAATTTTACCTGTAGTAATTAAGGTCTGAATTAAAGAAGGCTCCCTTAAAGCTACATTGTCCAGTGGAGTAGTCACTAGCCATATGTGGCCATTTAAGTTTAAACTAAATTCAACTAAATTAAAAATGCATTTCCTCACTCACTAGCCACATTTTAAGTGCTCTAGAGCCACATGTGGGTAGAGGCTTGTCCACTAAACAACACAGATGTAAAGCACTACCATCAACTCCAGAGGTTTTGCTAGACAGCTTTGCTCTGGAGATCTTTGCTTTTCTTTCTGCCAGGTAGGCACCACCAGACTGGGAAGCTTTTTTTTTTAAATTTTCTATTACCTGGTGGTGATGAGAGGAAACCACTTTTAACTGCTCTTCGTTTGAGGGTTTTTTGAATCATGCAGGCGGTATGAAGTTGGGCTGCAAAGATTAGTGAAGCCTTATTTGAGATGATGAAGTTTCAAGGGAGATTTTTGCACAGTACTGTTACTATGGGGCAGAAGATATTCATGAATAATAGATTCTATTTCTTTGCCCAGATGATGAGAGTAATGTTGCAGTCACCAGACCAGGTTCAGAAAGTTCCTGTGTGCTGAGTGAACCACACCCTTTGGTGTTACCACGAGTGCCACAGTCTAAAGTGTCCATCACCTCAAATCCGGTAAGCCCCAGAAGGATTATTGGAGACCCCGAAGCTCGTCTCGCCAGAGGAAATTTGCTACAAGTTGTTGCCTTGATTGTATAATTTCTGACTTTTTTTTTCAGTAGTTATGTCTATCATGATAATCCAGTGGCTATTTGCATTGACCAGCTTCAGTTTAAAATATTAATAGCAAATTAGAGTTGATAAATAATTCTCAGTTAACTCTTTTGAAGAGGCATCAATAAATTGTACAATCTAGAATCAACTATGTAGGCAGCCTAAGTCTGTTTTGGGAAGAATGGAGACTACCCTTGTAATGAAAAGCGGGAATAATCTCAGATTTTCTATGACCGTAACATTGTCCTTTGAACTCCTTCTTTTTAATTTTTTTCCATCCTTTTTCTCTTAACTTGGCCTGTTCTGGTTTTTGTTTTGTTTTGTTTTTCTTCTGGTTTGAGAGATGGAATCTCACTATGTTCCCTAGGCTGGTCTTGAACTCCTGGGCACAAATGATCCTCCCACCTCAGCCTCCCAAGTAGCTGGGATCACAAGCATGAACTACTGCACCTGACCTGTTTTTGTTTTTTAATACTTAAATCTGTTGACTTTTTTGCCTTTTGGATGCTTAGTACTCATAACCCGGGTGTAAAAATCAAAACAAAGCAAAGAGAAAACCTGTTTCTTTTCTTTTTTTTAAATTGGAAAATACAGTTTATTTAGAAAGTAAATTAGAGATGAAGAGAGAGAGGAGATTCACCTCCTCAGAGTTGGGGAGGGTCCCAAAACCAAGAAACATGGTAGCCATAGCTCCAAGAGTCACATAGGCTGGGTGCAGTGGCTCATGCCTATAATCCCAGCACTTTGGGAGGCCAAGGTGAAAGGATTGCCTGAGCCCATCGGTTCGAGACTAGCCTGGGTAACTTGGCAAGACCTCATCTCTACAATAAAAAAAATTAGCTGGATATGATGGCGTGTGCTCATCCAGCTACTTGGAAGACTGAGGTGAAAGAATCACCTGAGCCCAACAGGCCGAGGCTGTGGTGGCCATGAGCATGCCATTGCACTCCAGCCTGGGCAACAGAATGAGACACCAACTTAAAAAAAAAAAAGAGTCACATAGACACACCAGAGTTTAACAAAGCAATGGCTGAGAAAACCTGTTTCAAGTAAGTTGTGAACAACACAAAGATGGCATTCCTTGCAGTAGACTGATGAGCTTGGTCTTGTCCCTGTGTAATGATTTATGTAGCCACGTTTCCCATAGGACAGTTTCCTAGTGTTGCTTGTGGCAAAAAAGGGGGGTGGGGGAAGGGAAGGGGAGGTGGGATGAGAGAGAAAAAGGATTCTAATCCTTGAGCCATGCTCGTCAACCCTGGGTGTGACTGCCAGATTTGGTCATTCGCTTTGTTGGTCTATTGGCCAGATATTGTGTAGCTGGATTTACAAAAGGGATATTTAAAAATAAAATCAGCAAGTCTTGGGATGAGCCAGGCAAACTACTGCTTCTTTGGTGGTGATGAAGCACTTCTGCATGTTAAACTGGATTGGCTGTGGTTTAGGTAGCCTAAGTCCTGAACAGTCAACTGGGTGGTTCTGGTTGTTCATGACCAAAGTAAGGAGAGGAGCGAATTCAGACATTCTTGGAAGAGGAAGGAAAGTACATTCTGTAGCAGAGGAGCAAATGGCCAGGAAAGGCACTAAACTGACAACCTGAGAAAATAAGCAAGATTTAAGGGTGGCAATATCAATCTAAGTAAGATTAAGTCCTGCTAAGATGAGAACAAGTAAGATAAATTCCTAAGTGGGATTTAGGTTGTCATTGAGAGTTGACTGCTCCAGGGGGTAGTAGAAGAGAAAGAATAGTTTGTGTAGAGTACAGGATTGTATGATGATGAAAGAGATTAAATTAGAGTTTATCCTTATTTTTTTCTATTATTGTTCCTTATTGTATTTGTGAGCTTTCTTTTTTTAAGACTTTCTTTTCTGTTGTAATGTAAACTAATAATAATAAAGGTCCTCTCTCCCTTGTGAGAGTGGTTGTTAATTGCTTTCATCCAGGGTGGTCAGGCTTCCCCCACCTGCTGTCATGTAGAAATAGAGGGGAAGGAAAGAACCCTGTCATATTGACAGTTGACTTGGGGCCCCAGCTAGGGCTACTGGCTAAGATGTTGTAAAAATTAAGGCAGAGAGAAAAAATATATAAATGACCAAGCTGGAAATATTAACTTTTGGCAAACAGGTATCTTCACCAACCAATGAGTAACATCTTCTCTTGATATGTAGATGACTTTCTATCAAGCAAGTGGTCATCAGCCAAATGGTCTCTTGGTTCATGGGATGCCTCTACAGCCAAGAAATCTCTCCCTAATGGACAAGCTCCTGTAAGAAGTATAACATTTTATTGGACTATAGAGTAAAAGTAGAACACTGAGAAATCAAGGGAAAACAAAATCAGTTAATCAGCGTGAGTACCTACCAAGCAGCCACAGAGCAGCTGGGAAGCAAGACATCCAGGGGCACCCTCAGGCAACTGATAATGTGACTGAAAAGAGAAGACACACACAGATAGGAAGAGACCTAACCATAGAGGACATTTTTGTGAGTGCCAACCAAGTGCTACCCAGAATGAATGCTATGGCAGTCCCAAAGAAGGGAGGCATTTTGGTGAGTAAGTGTAGGTTTTGAAAGATGGATGTCTGGATCAGAGCAGGAAGAGCATTCTAGATAGGAGAAATGGTGTGGGAAAAGGGTTGGAGATAGGAAAGTACAAAATTTTTAGGAGAGAGAGCAGATCGTTTTTGCTATAGTAGGATGACAAGTAGGTCAGAATTTTAATAATTGACAATCTTCTGGAATTAAAATAAGCCATGATGTGATTAGTAGGAAGGGACTATGAAACTAATGAATCTTGGGCCCAGATTGTGGAGGGTTTTGAAGACCTTGTTTTTGAGATTCATCCATGTTGTTACACGTGATCTTCTCCATTGCTGAGGAGTATTCCATTGTAAGAATATGCCACAATTTGTTTATCTTCTCTCCTTTTAAGTAACACTGAAGTGTTTCCAGGTTGGGGCTATTGTGCATAAGGATACTGTAAATATTCCTAAACAGGTCTTTTTTGTGGACTTAAAGGTCTCATTTCTCTTGGGTCAATACCTAGAAGTGAATGGGTCATAGTATGGGTGTATATGTTCAGTTTTATAAGAAACTGCCTTAAAATTTCCCAAAGTAGTTGTACCATTCTACACTTCTACCAGCAATTTATAAGTTTCAATTGTGGAACACATACATTTAAATCAGGAATTTGAAAGATCGATTTCACAGCAGTGGGACATAGATTGGATTGAAGCAGGAGGAACTGAAGGTTAAGAGTCTCATGTAGGAGTTTAAGCATGAGCTGCTCAGAGTCTGCACTCAAGCCACGGCATAGGTTAAGAAAGGGGTAAACTATCTTAAGAGATATTGTAAGAGAAATGAAATTCTACAGAAATAGAGGAATCAGTCAGCTCTGAGATTTCAAGCTCGAGGGAAGCTTGTTTTGAGGGGAAAAGGTGAGTTTCTTTTAGGGTACGTTACATTTACAGTGATGAGCCATCTCATTGGAAGTGTTTAAGAGGTCAGATTTGGAGACTTATCTAAAAGTCACATGGTTAGAAATTATAATCAAATTCAGAATTATGAATGAGAAGTTCACAGAACAAAATAAAGATGAGCATAGGGCTGCTAAACCCTAAATGTTTTGTAATTAGAAAGCAGAGTGTTAAGCCGGGCTTGGTGGCTCTGCCTGTAATCCTGCACCTTGGGAGGCTGAGGTGAGTGGATCACCTGAGCCCACGGGTTCGAGACCCGCCTGGGCAACTTGGCAAGACCTCATCTCTACAATAAATCAAAAAATCAGCCGGGCGTGGTAGCGCGCGCCTGTAGTTCCAGCTGCTTGGAAGGCTGAGGTGGAAGGATCCGCCGGAGCCTAGCAGGTCGAGGCTGTGGTGGCCGGGAGCAGCCACTGCCCTCCAGTCTGGGCGACAGAGTGAGACTCCAAAAAAAAAAAGAAAGCAGAGTGTTAAAAAAAAAAAAAAGTATAAGTGAATGTAGGAAGGCATGAAGACCAGAAAGATCTCGTAATTCTCAAGGTGACGCCCTATACCTTGATGGGCAGCTTCCCTTCAAAGTTCTCTAAACACTGAGGCACATTTTGCCCTAGAGCAGTGGTCCCTACCCTTTTTGGCATCAGGGACCAGTTTCATGGAAGACAATTTTTCTACAGACGGGGTGGAGAGAGGGAATCAGACATTAGATTCTCATAAGGAGTGCCCAGCCTAGATCCTTGCATGTGCAGTTTACAATAGGGTTTGTGCTCTTATGAGAGTGCTCTTATGAGACTCTAATGCTGCTGCTGATCTGACAGAAGGTGGAGCTCCGGTTGCTTGCAGCTCATCTCCTGTTGTGTGGCAGGCTCCTGACAGGCCATGGTACCGTGGCCTGGGGGCTGGGGACCCCTGCACTAGAGGACACCAAAGTAGCCTGAAAGGTGGAGGAACTTGCTGAGAGCCATAGGAGCAAGTGGCAGAGCTGCTTTCTCTTTCACTCCCCCTCCATTTTATTGTGCAAATACTGCCTCTTAGATGTCTTAAGTAATCAAATGTTCTGTCATCTGTTTTAAACAAAACAAACCAAAGCCCCTGAATCTGTAGGGCAGTGTTTAAGCTATTGAACTGTTTAGGTGTGCTATTTTATTTATCAGAGGACTTGCAGAAAAGGATTGAGTTTCTGTAGTTATTTATGCAAATAGGGCTACTGTGGTCCCAGTGTTCTGGACAGCATGAGGTCTAGACTCTATGCCTGCTTCCAGCTTTCTAAAGAACCCAAACTCTTATCCCTGAAGGTTTCAACTAGCTGAACACTTTAATCTCTACGTTGGGAACCATACTGGTGCCACAACTGCTCCCAAGTAGCAGTACTTGTCTTGCAGTTGTCTTTCTGGTGACAATCTTTTTCTTTTTCTTTCTTTTTTTTGAGTCAAAGTCACTCTGTTACCCAGGCTGGAGTGCACTGACATGCTCATGACCACAGCCCTGACCTGCTGGGCTCAGGTGATCCTTCTGCCTTAGCCTCCTGAGTAGCTGGAACCACAAGCACATGCCACCATGCCCAGCTAATTTTTTGATTAACTGTAGAGACGAGGTCTCACCAAGTTGCCCACGCTGGTCTCGAACCTGGGTTCAGGCAATCCTCTCACCTCAGCCTCCCAAAGTGCTGGGATTGCAGGTGTGAGCTACCACACCTGGCATGGTGACAATCTTTCAACATGAAAGAATACCTCAAATGTAGTAGGAAATTCAGTCTCTGTGGCACACTTTTGGAAGACACTTTGGAGTGCTCTTCAGGCTTGCCTTCACTGGTGACTGAACTGATGATGGCAGGTGAATAATGGACTTGCTTTTCCAAATATCCATTCTAGTAAATTATGTTTATGATTTAAATAATGTGCCCTTTTGTTTTTTGGGTTTTTTTTGAGATGAGATCTCACTCTGTTGCCCAGGCTAAGGACCAGTAGTATGATCATGGCTCAATGCAGCCTTGAACACCTGGGCTTAAATGATCCACCCGCCTCAGCCTCCCAAGTATCTGGGACTAGAGGCATGTGCCACCATGCCAGGCTAATTTTTTTTTTTTTCTGTAGAGACAGAATCTTGCTATGTGGCTCAGGCTGGTCTTGAATGAACTCCTGGCCTCGAGCGATCCTCCCACCTGGACCTTCTAAATTGTTGGAATTACAGGCATGAGCCACTACTCCTGGCCAGTATCCACTTTTAAGAACAGATTCTCATGCCTAAGCTAGATGATGTTCTAAAAACCAGGTTACTTACTGAAAGGCTTTTATTTTTGTTTTTTCTCCCTTAAATGTAATTTTTGGTCTAAGGCTTTTTAACCAGTGAGTCTTGTCTTTCTGTACATAGTGCTCGTTTATTTCATTGTGGGCTTCTGATTGGCCCCTAGAGATCTTGATGACAAGCTACTTGTGAGGCCTGGGTCCAGTACCATCCTTTCGTCCCGAAACTGGCCAAATCGAGCTGTGGAGCTTAGCACATCATCTCTGTCATATACAGTGCAGTCCGCCAGGAGGCGCAATCCCCCGCCGCGAACCCTTCATCCCATCAGCACAAGCCATTCACGGGCTGGGACGCCAAGACCTGTGGAAGAAATCTTCAGAGGATCGCGAGTGTAGGTTTCAAAATTTCTAGAAACTGGTAAAACTAATTAATTTTACATAGGGAATTAATTTAAATATAAGACTGAAATCTGTGCCTAGAAACTAATCATTAAGTATTCTTATGATAGATTGCCCATGGGTTTAAATCTAATAGAAAATGTGTAAATGAAATAGATATTGAATGTTTCTGTTGATTTTGCTAAAGATTTCTATAAAAATAAAATGTTGGGTAGCATTCTGTACTGGGATTTACAAAAGGATATGTGTATTTGATTCTTAGTAGGGACATGTTCAGTGAAATTTGTCCCAAAATAATAATAGTTAATTCTCCTTTAATGGTTTTTCTGTACCATTGGGATCCGCTTATTCCACTGACAATGAAAACTTTATAAACCTCAGATAAGTAGTTGCTTATATAACGGGAAAAATATTCTTTAGTGCTTCTTAGGAAGTAACACTGAAGTAGATCTCTTTCCTTTTCCACTCTTTGTTGGCTAAACACTCTTGAGCCTCATCATGCAAAATACCTAGCAGCCAATTTTTGAAGAAAAATTATTTTAGTTGTTGATTCACAAAATATCTTTGGATGATTGATTTATTTTCTTCCTTTCTTTTATTTTTATCTTTTGAGTTGGAGGTCTCACTCTTGCAGCGGCTGGAGTGCAGTATAATCACGGTTCACTACTCTCTCAACCTCCTAGGCTCAGTCAATACTTGCGCCTCAGTCTCCTGAGTAACTGGGACTACAGGCAAGCGCCACCACATCCACCTAATTACTTGACTTTTTAAAATATTTTGGCCAGGCGGTGGCTCACACCTATAATCCCAGCACTTAGGGAGGCCGAGGTGAGAGGATTGCCTGAGCCCACGGGTTCGGGACCAGCCTGGGCAACTTGGTGAGACCTCATCTCTATGATAAATCAAAAAATTAGCCAGCCGGGCTCGGTGGCTCAGCCTGTAACCTTGGGAGGCTGAGGTGAGTGGATTGCCTGAGCCCGCGGGTTCGAGACCCGCCTGGGCAACTTGGCAAGACCTCATCTCTACAATAAATAAAAAATATTAGCCAGGCGTGGTAGCGCGCGCCTGTAATTCCAGCTACTCGGAAGGCTGAGGCGGAAGGATCGCCGGAGCCCAACGGGTTGAGGCTGCGATGGCCGGGAGCGGCCACTGCACTCCAGTCTGGGCGACTGAGACTCCAACTCAAAAAAAAAAAAAATTAGCCAAGCATGGTGGTGCATGCCTGTAGTTCCAGCTACTTGGAAGGCTGAGATAGAAGGATTGACTGAGCCAGCGGGTCGAGGCCGCGGTGGCCGTCAGCATGCTACTGCACTTCAGCCTGGGCAACAGAGTGAGACTCCAATTCAAAAAACAAACTTTTAAAAATTTTTTTCAAGCAATCCTCCCACTTTGCCCTCCCAAAGTGCTGGGATTATAAGCGTGAACCACCGCCCCCAGGATGGTTGGTTTCTAAAATCATAATCAAGCATATGAATAGTAAGGCCACAGTTGTTTTGAATTAAGTTGTTTTGGGGGGTTTTTTTGAGTTGGAGTCTCACTCTGTCACCCAGTCTCACAGCCACCGCAGCCTCGACCTGCTGGCCTCAGGAGATCCTTCTGCCTTAGCCTTCCAAGTAACTGGAACTACAGGTGCATGCCACCATGCCCGGCTAATTTTTTAGTTTATTATAGAGACAAGGTCTCACCAAGTTGCCCTGAGTGGTCTCGAAGCCCTGAGCTCAGGCAATCCTCTTACCTTGGCCTCCCAAAGTGCTAGGATTACAGGCATGAGCCACTGTGCCCAGCCCAAATTCAACTTCTCAACTAAAACTGTATCACTGTACTTGTCCCTCAACGTTATTTTGATTTTTCAGTTTTTCCCAACAGACTCACCAAAAAAGCCGTTCAAATCTACCAAAAATCTTTGTCAGGTCACCAACTGTTCGATTATGTAGATGTAGCTATATTTTCGGAGATGAGTAGTCTAGATGTATAATTATTCTCTCATTTCTTCAGACAGTACTTTTTTTCAAAGTTGAAAATAAGTTGCTTTGTTACTTCCGGGACATTGAAGTATCATTCAGTTTCAGTTACTGCCTTAAGTGTGAGTAATACTGCAGGCTACCCTAAATTCCATTGAAGAGAATGAAAGTTAAGGAACTTGAGAATTGTAGTTATTACTGGATGTGGTGGCTCACACCTGTAATCCCAGCACTTTGGGAGGTGGAGGCAAGAGCACTGCCTGAGCCCAAGGGTTTGAGACCAGCCTGGGCAACTTGGTGAGACCTCATCTCTACAGTTAAACAAAAAATTAGCCAAATGTGATGGTATGTGCCTGTGGTTCCAGCTACTTGGAAGGCTGATGTGAAAGAATCTCCTTCAGGTCAAAGCTGCGGTGGCCATGAGCCTGCCACTGCACTCTAGCCTGGGTGAGAGTGAGACTGACTCAAAAAAAAAAAGAAGTCAGCCGGGCTCGGTGGTTCAGCCTGTAATCCCAGCACTTTGGGAGACCGAGGTGAGTGGATTGCCTGAGCCCACGGGTTCAAGACCAGCCCGGGCAAATTGGCAAGATCTTGTCTCTACAATAAATCCAAAAAAAAAAAAAGAGAGAGAGAGAGAGGAAGAGAATTATAGTTACCAGGGAAAAGAGAAGTCAGAAGCTCATGTGGATTGCATCAGAGGTGAATTTACAAACCCCAAATTAGCAGAGAAGTGCAAAACCAGATAGGGAAAATTGTTTTTTCATTCTAGTTCTGCGGGAAAGGGTCAATTTCTGTCATGTGCCCAGTATAAAGCTTTAAAAAAAGAAAATACTAGCCTTTTAGGTCTCCTTACTTAAAAACATAGGCAGTTTAAAGCTTTTTTGTGCACATTAAACTCACCTGCTTCATTTATTTGATTTCTGATGAATTTGCTGGCATTATAACTTCATGCTTTCATGCCTTGGTGTTCGCTGGTGGGACCTGCAGCCCGGCAGCCGACTCGCTCTCGTCTCCCTCACCAATGCCCCTGAGTCGAAATAATCTGCTGCCACCTATTGGCACAGCTGAGGTGGAGCGTCTGAGCACTGCGGGGCCACAAAGGCAACCGGTATGTCTCTTTCATGTCGCCTTTCCATATGCTTATTATAAAACCTCATGGGCTGTAATTCTAGAGTTTGTGCCTGGTCTTGATTTACATCTACATTTTGTCTCTTCCCAAGAATACAAACTGAGTGCTAATTTATGACCAGTGGAATTGGACCTGCCCAGGCCAATGTCGGACACATGTAGCTCCCACTATGGAGGTTTGAACTGTTTCTGTAACTTTTGTCTCCTCTGCAGAAACCCCATGGCGATTCCAGTCGAGCTCGAAGTGCGGTGGTGGATGAGCCTAACCATCAGCAGCCCCAGGAACGGCTCCTTTTACCTGACTTTCTCTCCAGGCCCAATACAACTCAGTCATTTTTGGTATATGATGTACTTCCTGATACGGCCTTGATCGTTGAGGGGGAAAACACTCAATTGTCAGACTTAAGACTTAGACAACTATGTTTCTTTCATGTAGCCTTTCCATATGCTTATTATATGGTTTAAACAACCCCAAGAATAAAAACTGAGGTTCTAATGATGAATAGTGTTATCTCAAGGTGAGAGGATCACCTGAGGCCAGGAGTTTGAAAAATATTGTTTTATATACACATACATTTGTTGAAGTTCTAACTGGTCTGTGCTGCCCATTCTTAGTCAATAAAATGTCTTATATAGAAATTTCAAATTCTAAACAATTTAAAGTTTAGCTACTTCTGAGCAAGCACAAAAATGTTCCAGTACACATAAGATGACAATATCTTCATTAACTAACCCTGCTCTTAGTTACATCAAAAGTGGTATCAGATTATGAGTATTGGTGGTTGAGTGAATTAGGACTTCAGAGTTGTTGAGATGTGGTCTTGCTGTGTTGCCAAGGCTAGACTTGGAATGCCTGGGCTCAAGCCATCTCCCTGCCTCTGCCTCCCAAGTACCTGGGACTACAGGTGTGCACCACTACGCATGACTCAGGGCCTTTTCTGTCTACTGGTGTTTTATCTTTTTGAGTCAAGAGTTTCACTCTGCTGCCCAGGCTGGAGTGCAGTGGCATGCTCATGGCCACCTCAGCCTTCCAAGTAGCTGGAACTACAGGTGTGCACCACCATGCACGACTAATTTTTCTTGATTTATTGTAGAGACAGGGTCGCACCAAGTTGCCCAGGCTGGTCTCAAACCCCTGGGCTCAGGCGATCCTCTTGCTTTGGCCTCCCAAAATGCTGGGATTACAGATGTGAGCCATTGCGCCAGGCTGGTATTTTAAATGCTGACAATTCCTTACTATTTACTGTGCATTTACTTTTAAGCAAGTAATAGGAAAAAACCTGGCTGGGCAACTGGGCATCACACACTGACCTTCCCCATTTGCAGGCCAGGATTTCAACCCTGTCTAATCTGCATCGTGGTAAGAGAGCTTGGGGAGCTTAGAGAAGTGACTGTGGCCCCACATACCACATCGCTTCTCACGATGGTGGTGTCTGCAACCCACTTATCTCGACTCATGACCCTTGAACTATATCAGCCTAAAGCACCGAACAGTCTATCAGAAGAGTGGTGAGAATAATAAATGGGACTTTGTATTAATTTCCTAGGGCATACCAAATGACCATCAACTCAGTGGCTTAAAACAGAGATGTATTCTTTCCCAGTTCTAGAAGCTAGAAGTTCAAAATCAAGGTGTCAGCAGAGCCATGCTACCTCTGCAGGCTCTAGGGAAGAATCTTTTCTGGCCTCTTCCTAGCTTCTGGTGGTTGTCTGGTGTTACTGGGCTTCTAACTGCATCACTCGTTTCCACCTGTCTTTCCATGGCTTTCTTCCCTGAATGTCTGTATCAAGATATTAGTCATTGAATTTAGGGCCCACCCTAATCCAGTATGACTTCACCTTAACTTGATTACATCTGCAAAGGTCCTATTTCCAAATCTGGTCACATTTACAGGTTCCAGGTAGACATGAATTTTGAGGGGACACTGTTCAACTCAGTAGACCTCATGAGGCTTGATTTAGGGGGAAATTCACCAAAAACAAGGACAAAAAAGGAAACATGAACATTCCTGATTCTTGGCATTCAATATGAAGCCCAGGTTTGAGAATTTCTACTGAATTTATCTCCTCATAATCAGATCCATGACACCTATTATGCAGTTTGATTATATTTTACAGCCAGATTCTCTCAAACATTTAATTTTTTTTTTCTTCAAGAGACAGGGTCTCACTCTGTTGCCTAGGCTAGAGTATAGTGGTGCAATCATAGCTCTCAAACTCCTGAGCTCAAGCAATTCTCCTGCCTCAGCCTCTGAGTAGCTGGGACTACAGGTGTGTTCTATTGTGCCTGTCTAAAAGCATTTAATCTTTGGTTGCCTTAGGAACACACAAAAACATTTCAGTTTTTCATAAGTTTGTAACAATAGCAAAATAAGAATTACTTATCATAGCCACTTCTCGCCCCATTTGCTAGCCAAAAAAAAAGAGAGTCAGCTGGTAACTCAGTTTAAGAGTATGGCCAAGTCCTGGGCCTGGCACTACCAGACTCACACTCTGCTCCTTGGTGTTTCCACCTAGAAGAGAGGTCAGTAAACTAGTTCACTGGCTACTCAGGCCTGTTTTTGTAAGTAAAATTTTACTGGAGCAGAGCCACCAAGCTCATTTGTTTATTTACTGTCTATGGCTACTTTTATACAACAACAAAATTGAATAGTTGCAGCAACCACCATATGGCCCACAAAGCCTACGATAACTATGAGTCTTTACCAAAAATAAGTTCGCTGACCTGTGCTGTTTAAACTATGGGGGCTTTGCCAGAAAAAAATGACTGAAATCTCTTGACTTCAGTGCTCTCACAGGAAACTGAGGGATGTTTTTATTATAGAAGCCCTAGCAGGACTGCATTATATTGCTTTTTTAAAAAATACTTGCATTTTAATATCTTAGGCATATCCTTACACGTTTAAATTCCTTGAGGTAATTTTAAAATGTTTGAGTTTCACAGTTCTAAAAAGTAAATGTAAAATTAAATTTTAATATGATGATAAAGCCATGGATTTTTCATTGCTGAAAAGGCTGGATGTTTTAGTCAGCAGGCAATAAAGAGAAATCAGACAAACATCTCTAGGAAGCTAACTGAAATATTAAACCCTATGGATTATCCAGACACTAAGATTTTCTTAATGGCACAGTAACAAAGTTGTAGAATTTGCAGTTTTTACAAGTTAATAGCTTTGTGGGCACCTGGCTTGGGATTTTTCTACTCACAATTCAACACAGTACACTCAGCTGATTTTTCTCTCAGGTTGGCAGATTATACCTTTTACACTGTTGTCGATTTCAAGGTTTTCCTTTGTGAACCTCCTAGAGTATTATTCTTTGGAAGAAGCCGCATTGTAAAAAGTGTCTCATCTTTTCTCTTTTAGCCGGATACACAGTGTCGTCGTTCGTGCCCAGTAGAGTATCCTCATCAGGCCCGGCCTGGTAGGGGATCTGCAGGTACAGGTGGGGCCATGGCCTTATTGTACTACCCTGTGGATGCATTAAGACCCTGCCTTTGTCTTTTTTTCTGCACGTATTTTCCCTTCTTTCAAATCTTCTTGTACTTAGTTTTCCCACATTTTTATAAATTACCTCAAGCTCACTTTGCAACATGGGGTATTAAAAAGAGATCTATTGCTCAGAGCCAAAAAGTTTCAGATGTCTGCTTTTTTTATACCATGTAAACTAACCTTTCACTACTCTTGTAAACTAATTTTTTAATCTAAAAAATTTAAGCCAAGTCAGTCCTTTTCATAATTTTCAAAATATTAATTTTATTATGTAGCCAAACTCCATATTCCTATGGGTTAGACTGCTTTGGTCAGTTAACTGTTAGGCTATGGTAAGAAAGGAAATTCTAAACTATCAGGATATGCTGAATCTGATCCTATCCCATTAACTCTTTTTAATCTCTATAACTTAGAGATACTCTGTAGGTGTTACTAACAAAAGTGGTGAGAGATTTAGGGATGTCTTAATTCTTCCTGTGACAGTCTTCTCACCAGCATCAGTATCATCATGTTAAAGGTAAACTTAGTAGTATTGGGCAGCTGAAATGCTTTCTTATTAATAAGAATAATCAGCTAATACAGTAAGAACTAATCTGCCTCAAACCATCTTTGCAATCCAAATGGTTTCTTAGTTCAGTTCCTAGTAGCACTGTTTGGTAGTCTGAATGCTTTAATCCAATTTTGCTTTTGGGTCAGTCCTAGTAGAGACTCAATGCTGCCTCTGAGCTACAATTTCAGTTGCATTGATGGTTACATATAACTATTTTAACATTTAGGTGAGACAGACATTTTAGTCCTTTGTATAATTAGTGGGCTCTTCTGCAAAACTAGGTTAGTGCTTTTATATCTTAATATGGGTTTTTAAAAATTTTACAGGATAAAATATGGAACACGTTTTTTGTTGCCTTGATAAATATATATATACTTTGTCTTAATACCAGTCTTGAAATTTAAAGTTCAACTGACAGAGCAAAAAAAGCTCTGAGATAAAAACTTGGGATTTATTATCAAATCTAGCCTGTCTACTAATGTTACTCTGTGATGTCATCTGTGTCTGACAGGTCCTCAGTTACATGGGTCTACAAAATCTCAAAGCAGAGGTGGGCCAGTCACTCGAACAAGGCAGGGACCATAAAGCAAATGAGAAGAACCTGCCAGGCAGCGGGAACACGTTGAGAAGACTTCATGAATCAGTGTTCAGTCATCAAGTGAGACAGAGCTTGCACACAAGATCAACTTGAAACCATCTTCATAAAGAGTTATTTTGGTACAACTGACTGAAAAACACAACGCACCAAAGCGCACACAAGTGTCATTTCTATTTCCAGTTACTGTCTCTTTCAGCATAAATTAACCTAGTCCACTGGAGAGGAAAGTTTGTACCCAAACATATAACAATGAATAACACTGAAATCACTGCTCATGCTATTAACAATGATCAGTTCATCTATGCGATTACACATACACAAAAAGCAGCAAATGATGTCTGGTAATAGTTATCAGTGGCCTCAGAATACTTCAGCTTGTATTAATTTCTGGAGAGTTGTAGTCAGTTTTCATTTGAAGTCATTTTTAGAAGACAGTGCTATCAAAAATCTGACCTACTTATCAAATAGATGTCCTTCCTACCAGTAGATTAAGATGAAAGGGATAACTAAACAGAAATGTTTACCATTATGAGAGTAAAATAACTTAAGTCATACTGCTTATCGCTTTCAGACTGGACAGCTCAAACCTTACAATGCCTACTTGTTATCAGGTTATACTTATTTTCTTCTTGAAGTACTTAACTGGTCATGTTTTTTCCCAACTATTAAAAATCACCTTGCCAGGTTTTCTCCTGCAGCTGAGACAGTCAATTAAAAAATGATTTGTACAATCTATTAATGAGCCACCAAAGAACAAGTCCTTAAAAATTTAAAAACTCTGGCAAGTAGTCCAGCATAAACATATCCTATGAGCAGCAAAAGTAGAAAGGTTCAGCATTCTGATTTTACCACAGAGGGCACTCATGAATGCAGCAATGGTTTTAACTATGGCTTCAATTCTATTTAAATTTCACTAAATATTAATTTTGATAGTCATACCAGTTTTAGATGTTAGTTTTCAGAGTGGATAAATTAAAATTATAAATTAGAGTAACTTTTTATAATACCAGGGTGTCCTAATGCTATCATATGAAGACATGCTTCAAACAACCTGCATTAAATTATATTTTTAATACAATTAGAGTATTTTTTAACTTGTTTGTAGTCATAAATTGAAAGTGTCATGTGCTTAGCTTAAACTATGATACATAAAGCTCAATAGCAAGAGGCTTGTTTTATGCACATGGTATATTAAATATATTACTCTACCATCAGATTTGAAGTTGAACAGTCCCTTAAAAATTTCATATAGTCTAATAAATCATATCAAGTCATCTAAATGTAACTGAAATTCTCGGTTAGCCTTTCAAGAAGTAATTTAGCCCAATCCCCTCACCTTCTGTGTGTATGTGTGTGTGTGTTCCTTCAAAGCCAAAGCAAATTTTTTTCTTTTACCAAAAAACTAGACATATTTTACAATGACAAGTTTGGATCTCACTCTTTTATAAATGAGGAAACAAATCAGACAAGCTTAGTGACCTAAGGACATTCAGAAATTAAAGGAAGAACTACAACATACATCTTTTTTTGAGTCAAGGTCTCACTCTGTCACCCAGGCTACAGTGGAATGAGCAGAGTTCAACACAACCTCGACCTCCTTGCCTCAGCGTCCTAAAGTAACTGGGACTATAGGTATATACCACCACACCTATCTAAATTTTTAAAAATTTTTTTGTAGAAATGCTATGTTGCCTAGGCTTGTCTTGAACAACTAGGTTCAAGCAATCCTCCCACTTCAGGCTCCCGAAGAGCTGGGACTATAGGTATGAGCCACCGCACTCGTCCTTACATCTCTTTATGTAACTTACCAGGCTATTATAATGCCAACTGCAACTATCTTTTTCTCTATCGTAAACAGCACATTTTTTTTTCTAGATCACATTTTAAATGATTATGGATCATTTAAAAAGCCCCAGAACTTATGTTTTACTTGTTTATTTAATCATATACAAGTCTTAGAAAAATGCTTGAATTATGAACACCTGAAAAGTACAAAACCTGGCCGAGTAAAACAAAGAGAGGGTGTATTCAAGATCATTAAGACCAGGTATAAACTGGCAAGTATTTGGAAGACAGCTGTTAAGCTAGTGCTTTCAAGGTGCTCTAGCTAGGTAGAATGTCCATTCTAATAGACCTGCACATCACAAAAAGCTGTATGAACAGACCCACTTTCTAGATAAGAGTTCTGCATACAGAAGAACCACAGAAGCAAGTGCTGTCAGGAAGTATACTCCCTCTGCCCTCCTAACTATCCCCACCAAATTCCTTCAAGACCTCCTATGATGTCAGGTGACTTCTAGGAAATACTAATACCACACTGAGAGATTCCACTTGCTTTTTAGTCGATCTGAAAAATTTAGGCTGGAAAGACAGTTTCTCTCAAGGGTTGGGTTGACTTTTGCCTTCAAATCTTGACTGCACCTTGCCTACCATGGCATCAATGAACACCTAAGGACCTTTGAAGAGGAAAATTCCATTATTTCTTTCCTTTCTTGAGAGTCGTTTTTTTCCCTCCTCCTTTGGAAGGTTTGCAGTATTTTGCTTCCATCTGAGCCAGAAAATTGTCCATTTCCTTTTGCCGATCCTTTTGTCTGCTCTGTTTGAGAAGTTAAAAGACAAAAGTTTTCAAAACACAACACTATCCAGAGACAGTACTTAGTGGTTGTCAGGGGTTAGAAGGGAAGTGCCTACTAATGGGTATGTGGTTTCTTTTTGGAATAGTGGCAATGTCCTAGAATTAGTGCTGATGGTTGTACCACTTTGTGAATCTATTAAAAGAACCAATGAAATATACATTTTAAAAGGACAAACAGACCGGGCTCGGTGGTTCAGTCTGTAACCCAGTACTTTGGGAGGCCGAGGCGAGTGGATTGCCTGAGTCCGCAGATTCGAGACCAGCCCGGGCAACTTGGCAAGACCTCATCTCTACAATACATAAAAAATTAGCTGGGAGTGGTAGCGCATGCCTGTAGTTCTGGCTACTTGGAAGGTTGAGCCGGAAGGATCGGGAGCCCAGGAGGTCAAGGCTGCAGTGGCCATGAGTGTGCCACTGCACTCCAGCCTGGGCAAGTGAGACTCCACCTCAAAACAACAACAACAACAAAAAAGAACAAATAGATGCTATGTGAATTATGTCTTAAAAGAAAAAATATCCACAACACTACCCATACACTTCAAAGAAAATATTAGTACTAGGAATCAGACCATGAAAGCAGTGGCAACAGCCTGCCTGTCAGGTTTACCTGAATGACAGCTTTCAAGTTATCCACTCCTTCATCAAGCCCCAACTCTTTCCTGCTTTTTTCTGCTTCTTTAGCTTCTTGCTCAGCCTGAAACAGAAACTCACATAAGACTCCATGGCAACCAGGAAATGCTTAAAATACAGCCTCTATTTCTCAAAAGCAAATATATGATAATAAGATGACTTTCAATTTAAGGCTTGTATGAATAGACAAATTACATAAATATGTCACTTGTTATAAGGCAAAATTGCTGAGAGCAAGCAGTAGACCCTCTGATTCCAATAACCATTTCTGACAAGTACTTTGGCACTCAATCACATGGGATACAAAACAATATGGAGTGCTAGGAAAGGTCACTTAACAAACGATGTCCTCAAAAGTGATGCCAGGATATGATTCCTCCTCTGGAAATCTAATTTACTACGTGGGACTGGTGGTAGCCTTGTGAACAATCCTAGTTTAAAATTTCTGATCAGAAAAAACAATATTAAATTCAACTTTAACCTCCCTTTACAGGATTTCAAGGCCATTTTCATTTGCCAAATTTTCCTAGGGCATTGTTTCCAAAATGCCACAAGAACACCTTAGGGCAACAACTATGACTATAAGAAGGCTGACCCCTCCTGAACTTTTTCTTTTTTTTTGAATTGGATTCTCACTCTGTCGCCCAGGCTGAACTGAAGTGCAGTGGCACACTCACAGTCACTGCAGCATGCTGGGCTCAGGAGATCCTTCCACCTCAGCCTTCCAAGCAGCTGGAACTACAGGCATGCGCCACCGCACCCGGCTAATCTTTTTGATTTACTGTAGAAATGTCTCGTCAAGTCACCCAGACTGGTCTCAAACCCATGGGCTCAGGCAATCCTCTCACCTCACCTTCCCAAAGTGCTGGAATTATAATAGGAGTGAGCCATGGCGCCCGGTTCTGAATTTTTCAAATAGCAGTTAATGCTATTAATACTGGGAATGATGCTACATTAGGAACTAATTATCCCAACAAAGACAGTTCCATGTATTCAAATTCTCTCTCTAAATTCAAGGTCCCCCCTCCCAACCTACACCTCTTCCTCCTCAAACATAAGGAAGTTGGCTGAGGCGGAAGGATTGCCAGAGCCCAGCAGGCGAGGCTGCAGGGGCCGGGAGCGGCCACTGCACTCCAGTCTGGGCCACCGAGTGAGACTCCAACTCAAAATAAATAAATAAATAAAAAATAAGGAAGTTTCTCAAACTAACAGTCTATTGTTGAATGCAGCTGTGTTCAGTTTCACCTGAGAAAATGGTTAACAACTTAAGATAAAAAAAAGTCAGCTTGAGCATTAGCAGATGTAGCCTATGAACTAAAATGATGAGGGTGAAAGAAATTCCACTTCTCCCCTCAGCCCAACACAGAGGTGCAAACAGGCCCTTCAAATTTTCACCAAAAAACAAAAAGGTCAGCTTCCTCTCTGCATCTTGAATCTAAAAGCTGTAGATTCCCCAGCATCCCACACCCTGCCCCCCTCAGTTCAGCCACACACAAGGCACCTCAAGTACCCACCAAAGACCTAAAACCTTAAATTTTTTACGTTCCATTGAACTCATTATGAAAGTCAAGTTGAGGTAATGGTTACTTTCCCAAAAGACCAGAGACAGATGTTCGCGAACCTTGAATCTCCTCTTTTCCCCAAACACTACTTGTCATAAGCACCTTTCCTCTCCCATCATCCACACTCCTTCCCACCCTCCTAGTTTAGTATGGGTGTAAAGGACATAATAGGCCATAATCCTGGATTCTTGACAAGTATTCCTCAAAGTGTGTTCAAAAAGACACCATCAAAATGAGGTAGTGTTGCTTTAAAAAAAAAAAAAAAAAAAAGGAAATTCTGGATCCAACCCAAGATTCTGCACTGTTAACAAGACAGTCTCTGTCATCTTTTCCCCAACCCTCAACCTGAATAAGGGCCACTGTCTATCCTGTGTATCTGGACTCCACTGCTTTATCTCCCAAGGAATGCCTCAGCAAAGCTACAAGCATTGGACTATATAAAAAAAAAAATGTTCAGTGTCACTTTAAGATGATATTATTTAAACAATCTACGTAGTAAAATCATCTTAAGTATACACTAGAGAAAAAGTCTCTCTCTATGAATTGGTATGTCCACCTTATTAGATGAGATCTGAGTTCAAATTAACCCTAGTCCTTATTTGAGTGGTTTTGTATATACTACCGTTGTTGAAAATACCCTCAAGTCGGGCTCGGTGGCTCAGCCTGTAATCCCGTGCTTTGGGAGGCTGAGGTGAGTGGACTGCCTGAGCCCGCGGGTTCGAGACTCGCCTGGGCAACTTGGCGAGACCTCATCTCCACAACATACCCAAAAATTAGCCGGGTGTGGTAGCGCGCGCCTGTAGTTCCAGCTACTTGGAAGGCTGAGGCGGAAGGATCACCAGAGCCCAGCAGGTGGAGGCTGCGGTGGCCGGGAGCAGCCAATGCACTCCAGTCTGGGCGACAGAGTGAGACTCCAACTCAAAAAAACAAAAACCAAAAAAAAACCCAAAAAAACCCTCAAATTCTTTTTGGAAGCAGTCAAAATATGAATAACCCACAGCATTCAAAATCTTACCCTCCTTTTCCTTGCATTCATCTTTTGTTTCGACTCTTTGACAAAGGCATTATAGGATGGGACTTCTCTGGCATCAATAGCTTGCTGAATGATATCCCTTATCCTGGGTTCCTCTGTGTACTGCACACAAAGCACAGACTCCATGATCTGATCCATGTCCCCCTTGAAGTCCAGATACGCCTGTTTAATGTCAGTCAGCTCTTCTTCAGAGCCTTTATACGTCTTTTCAAATGCTTGAATGTCTTCTAGAGAGATCTGATAATAAAGAACATATACTTTAACTTTGGGAATTTTATTTTAAATAAAACGTACACTGGAGATAGAGGTGTTGACATGCTTCTCCCCCAAAACAACAGTCGCTTGAGTTGAAATCGTTGCAGGCAACCAAATTTGCTATGCCCTATAAACTTTTCCAGAATTCTCCCTAGGACCAGGGTAGAGAAATTTAAGTGATGTTTTCGAGGGTGAGAAAAGACTCAGATAAACACACAGGACTTCCGTTTGGATATATAAAGAAAAGCGCATCCTGGAAAAAAAATAAAAACCCTTTTTAGTCCAACAATCACGCTGTGTCAACAGGGAACCAAAGGCCCGATTCGGTAAGTGTGCGTGCATTTCTATTTCAAGGAAAACTCGAAGTCCGCATTCCTACCAAGTTAACACAAAGTGAAAGACCTCCGAGATAATAAAGGACGGCCCCAAAGAACGCTCCGGAGCCCCTACCTTTTTGAAGAGTAGCCTCCAGTACGCCTCCCAGTCCCGGTCTTGGGCGAGCGCAGCAGAGTCCTCGTCCACAGCGCCCTGCTCATCGTACACCGCTCTCTGCTCTTGGTCACTCAGGACGGAATAGACTCTCCCCAGGATCTGAGGGGACAGAGTCCGTAAGTCGCCCCGGCGCCTCCCGCTGAAACCGCGCGACGAGGAGGCGCCGAGCCGAGATCGGCGCGCTCCTCCGGGGCGGGGCGGGGCGGGAGGCCAGAAGCCTGGAGGGCCCCCTGCAGCCGGCCCGCCTCGGGGCGCGGACCCGCATACCTGGAAGCGGCGGGTGGCGTCCTCCTTGTCGCCGTCGCTCACCCGGTCCGGGTGCACCCGCAGGGACACCTTGTGGTAGCCGCGTCGGACCTCGCCGTCTGATGCCTCGCGCCGCACGCCCAGCACCCGGTAAAGGTCGGCGG